GGGGGGGGGGGATTGTCCCAATGTGCCTCTCCTTACACTTACCCAACACTGAACTTCATTTGCCACGTTGTCCCCCACCCACCAAGCTTATGGAGATCCTCTTGCAGCTCTTCACAGCCAGCCTTGGTTTTCATCATCATGAAACATTTGGCGTCATCTGCAAACTTGGCCACTACAATATTCACCCCTAGTTCGAGATCACTGATGAATAAATTAAATAGTAAAGGTAAAGGTTCCCTTGCTCAAAAGCCAGTCGAGTCCGACTCTAGGGTTGCGGTGCTCATTTCCGTTTCAAAGCCGAAGAGCCAGCGCTGTCCGAAGACATTTCCGTGGTCATATGGCCGGCATGACTAAACACCAAGGCGCACGGAACGCTGTTACCTTCCCACTGAAGTGGTACCTATTTATCTACTTGCAATTTCTTGCTTTTCAACAATTTTCAACAAACTAAGAAATGGAATTTGGGTTGTAGAGCCATCCAGAAATCTGAAGCATAAATGTTAACATGAACCACTAAATAATGCCACATTAAACCCTAGGATACAATTTACAGCATTACAAAGATTACATAATAGGATCCTACTTAAAATAAGCTCTACACATTAGTATGCACCACAGTCCTTAAACATTTCTCCAGGTGACTTTGTGAATTGATTTGTACAGTGCTACCCTACTGCCTGCGTAGAAAAGCCCTCTTGGAACGATTCAGTTTTTCATAGTTCACAGAAAGCCAGGCGAGTGGGAGCCTTCCTGACCTCCTCAGGCAGGCCGCTCCACAAGGTGGGGGCCTCAAAGGAGAAGGCACAAGCATGGGCATTGGTTGATTCTGCCATGTGCAGGGTGGGACCTGTGGAAGTCCCTGCTCAGATGAGTGAAGCTGTCATGGCAGAGCCTAGAAGGAGAGACTGTCTTGCAGCTATGAGGCTCCAAGGCCATGAAGGGCTCTAGACAGAATAGCCAGTCCTTTAATCTGAGCCTGGGAGCGGATAGGCAGCCAGTGCAGGTACTGCAGAAGGGGAGTAATATTCATGCTCTATCTAGCCGTCAATAATCAAAGGGCAGCATTCTGCACGAACTGGAGTTCCCGAATTGCTTTTGAGGGGAGACCCATGTACAGTAGTCTAGTCTCGATGTCACCATGAGATGGATCCAGGTGCCCAAAGCAGCCGTGTCAAGGTAACGCCAGGCTGAGTTGGAAGGAAGCCTTTTTTGCAACTGAATTTACTTGCTTCTCCAGTTGGGTCCAGTAAAACCTGGAGGCTCTTAAGTGAGTATGCAGCTGAACTCCATGGAAAGCGGGGAGCGGAATGTCCTTCAAGAACCGTCCCCGCCAGCACCCCTTTATTACATTTTAAAACTATTTAATACCAGCGCGCCCCGTCAAAAACACACGATAGCCACATTTCTCTCCTCCAGCGAGACTGAAAAGCTCATTCGCCCCATGACTTACTTATGAGTAAACCCTCCCAGGATCCGGTTGCAATAAGGTCCTGTCCCTCCCCCCTATTATGCAGCCCTCCCTAATCTCTTTGGTGATTCAAATAGCAAAGCCCCCAACCCGGAAATGACCTTTTCCTGTTTCCGTCCCCCCACCCGCTCGGTCTCTCTAGGAAGGAGCTCGCTCATTTTAACCCTTTCAGTGCTGCAGGCGAAGAAATTAGAAAAGCTCCCTCCCGTCCTCTCCAGGAGGCGCCGCGCCCGGACCCGTGCGGAGGGGACGGACTTCAGCCAGGCTGCCCTCCGCGACGCCCTGTAGTGCAGCTCGATGAGGGGGGGGGGCTCCTCGCGAGTAACTCTGCGCGGGGCGGGGCGGCGGGGGGGGGAATCTGCAGCACTGACTGGGTTAAAGTGAGAGAGCCGCGTGCTAGAGAGGACGAGCAAGGAGTGGTAGGAAGAGAGGAAAAGGTATTTCCGGGGGGGGAAGCCTTGTCACAGTCGGATCCCGGGAAGGTTTACTCATAAGTAAGTCATGGGGGGGGGGCAGGCGGGCGAGCTCTTCAGTCCCGCTGGAAGAGAGAAATGCGGCTATTCCGTGTTTGTGGACGGGGAGCTGGTATTCAATGGTATCTGAAGACGCGAGCCCTGACTCATGAAAGCTCATACCGCAAATTTTGTTAGTCTTTAAAGTGCTACTTTATTCATAAGTTACGTCATGGGGAAGGAATAAGCTTTTCAGACCTGGAGGAGAGAAATGCGGCTGTCGTCTGTTTTGGACAGGGAGTTGGTATTCGATAGTTTTTCAATGTAATCAATGAGAGCATGCATATATATTACTCTCCATCTCCTGTCACTCCACTGGCTGCCCATCAGTTACCAGGCTCGGTTTAAAGGACTGGCTCTCCCACCCGGTGCCCTTCATGGCCTTGGACCTTCATACCTGCAAGACAGTCTCTCCCCTTATGCTCTACCATGACAGCTTCGCTGATCAGAGCAGGGACTTCTGCAGGGCCCACCCTGCACACGGGCAGAGTCAACCACTGTGCATCCACGTACCTTCTCCCTTGAAGCCCCCATCTTGTGGAACCGCCTGCCTGAGGAGGTCAGGCAGGCTCCCACCTTTCTGCAATAGGGTAGCACGGTCTAAAATTATTCACAAAGTCACTTGGAGAAATTATCATGGACTGTGCTGTATATGAATGTGTATTTGTTCTTGTTGTTGTCAAGTCATAGCTAACTTACGGTGACCCCCATAGTGTTTTCAAGGCAGGAAACTTCAGAGGTGCGTTGCCATTGCCTGCCTCTGCGTCATGACCCTGGAATTCCTTGAAGGTCTCCAATTCAAATATTAGCCGGGGCTGATATTGAGCTGCGGTGGCTCAAGTGGTTAAGACGCTGGACTGCAGGCTGTGGAAGGTCAGTAGTTCAGCAGTTCGAGACCCGAGTGTGCCGCATGACGGAGTGAGCTCCCGTCTCTAGTTCCAGCTCCTGCCAACCTAGCAGTTCGTAAAGCAAGAAATTGCAAGTAGATAAATAGGTCCCACTTTGGTGGGAAGGTAACAGCGTTCCGTGCGCCTTGATGTTTAGTCATGCTGGCCACATGACCACGGAAACATCTTCGGACAGCGCTGGCTCTTCGGCTTTGGAACGGAGATGAGCACCGCAACCCTAGAGTCGGACTCGACTGGCTTTCAAGCAAGGGAACCTTTACCTTTTTAACCCTGCTTAGCTTCCAAGATCTGACAAAATCAGGGTAGCCTGTGGTATCCAGGTCAGAGTACCAATGTGTATAGCTTATTGTAAGTAGTATTCTATCATGTAATTTTGTACTGCTGTAAGTTGTACCCAAGCCTACTTGTAATTTTGCATCATTTAGTGGTTCATTTTAACAGTTATGCTTTCTTCAACACCAGTTTTTTGATTTCTTGTTAGTTCTATAACCCAAATTCTATTTCATAACTTATTGGATGTGCCATCCTGTTGACTTCATTGAGTCACTCTGGATCATGGTCTGCCTTTGACTCTAAGTGACAGAGGCGAACTTTAATAACATAAAGGAACACATCATGCATATATAAATGCTTTAATTCCTTGTTGCCTGGGTGGCCCTTGTGGGGGCAGAAAGGAGGGATCTGGATTTTGTAAATGAAAACAACTAAAAATAAATTCTCAGCCACAGGGTTTGTAGGGAGGCCCACAAAGGACTCTCAAGCATTAGAACATAACAGAAGCCAATGTTGGGTCAGGCCAATGGCCCATCCCGTCCAACACTCTGTCACACAGTGGCCAAAAATACCAGTTGCCATCAGGAGGTCCACCCCCCCCCCCCAAGCACCAGGAATACAAAGCACCACTTGCCCCAGACTGAGAGTTCCTACCTTAAATGGCATGATCAGAAGGGATGAATCATACAAGCCCATTGACAGCTCCAGGCACGCATAGCATTTGGGGCAGTGCTTTATATCCCATCTGTCATTTTCCTGGGGGTTCGTTGCTTCCCCCTGTTCATCCAGGCAGCCCCTGTGCCCTGACCTGGAGGGGCTTCATGCTCCTCTGCCCGCCCCCCACTAAGTACTTGGACAGAACTGTTACTAAACACATCCAGCCTATGGAGGAGGTATCTGCAGTGGTTAAGCCCTTACCAGTCACTTTGTCTTGTGCTCCAGTTTATGTTGAGAGTAGCCTCCATTCTGGTAAGCAGGGGACAGCCTGGCTCCCCCCCCCCCCCCCCCGCCGCGTTTTGCTCCTGCAGTTGCTGCTAAGGTGTCCCTTTGTTAACAGCCAGACATCTCCTGTGGAAGGGTATTTCTAAACAAATTGCCCCTCCTGTAATATCACCCCCAAAGCATTTTTGGATTGCACAGCCTGGCCTAGAAGTGGAACCAAGGTGAAGATTTTGTTCCAACAAAATGGATGCTGGCCAGGAGACAAGCCTGGGAAACTATTTTGGGTAGGGGACTCAGGGTAATTGACTTGCTAGTCACTCTCCTCCTCACCCAAAAAGAGATATTTAGTCTGAACAATGGGTTTCTCAGGAAAGGCACTACCCTATCTTGATGTGATCAGTGCCATACCTAGTCACGTTTCCCTTTGTGCATTTATCCTAATTAATAGGCTATCCATATAACGCGATAGCCTCTCCCATCCTGTACTCTAGGGTCATCAGAGAACATTAACACTTTTAGTTTGCACCAGACAATCTCATCAAGTGCCATTAGCTACATTCATGCAAATTGTCACAAGTTTCACTCTGTCTTTGTCTACCCTGGTAAATGTGATCAAGGTATTGTCTTAGGGGCGCATGCATCAGACCATCTCCGAGGTCAATTTTTTCTATATCTAGACATGCCCTGCTCCACGGAGTGTGTGTATGTTCTATCAGCGCCTCTACTCATATGTAGGTCCTTACTCCTCTCCAGAGAAACACTGGCCATTCTCTTCCGTGGACCTTGACCTCAAGACCTGGTAAACATCGCCCTTCCCTGAATCACTTTCCCTGCTACTTCCTTTTATTTTCCACTTAGGGAGTTTGTGTCTTTCCCCCATGTGCTTTGTATGTATGTTTGCTCTTTATCCTTCTTATAATAAAAGCACCCTTTTGGTACTTCAGCCTGCTTATTTTGAGAATTCTCAGGGAATAACCCCTATAAACATTGGTGGAGATCCCTAGTTACTCCCTAAGTCTCCAATTTCACTAATTCCCCCAATTAATTTGGAGACTCCCATTTGGTTAACACTTTACCCATGCCAAGCTCAACATCCTTCGCTCTCCCCCGACTGCTCCCTCCCAGTGTGCCTTCTCTGCCTGGTATGATCTCTGACGAGGGGATCTGTTTTTTTTTTTCCCCAGGGTCCCTTTTCTTTTGAGGAGGTGGCCGCGTATTTCACCGGGGCAGAGTGGGTGCTCCTGGATCTGGACCAAAGAGCTCTCTGTAGGGAAGTCATGCTGGAGAACTACGGGAGCGTGGCCTTTCTGGGTAAGGATCTTTCATGGGTGCCAAAGGTGCAAATTGCTCCCATTGGGATGAAGCATGAATCAAAACATTGAACGCCAATGCATCATTTTCAGGCCTGCCCCACTACTTGTTCCCTACTGGGGGTCTCGAGGAGTTGGGGTGGCAGTAAAAGTGATGTTCAGCATGGCCTGGGAGAGTGACCCAACCCACTTGACTGTCCCAGGGGCAACTGAGGCCACTGTTGTGGCCAGCACCCAAGCCAGAGAGGGTGCCCTGGCCTGGAGCCAAGGAGGGGCTGAGAGCCTTCAGAAAGGGATTTGTGACCCAAATCACTCATGCATGTCCACCTCTGTAGCTAGCAAAAGCTTCCTTCTGCTAGCCAAGAGAAAACACATGTATTGTGGGGTATTAATTCCTGAGATCGTAAACCTATGTCTGCCAAAGTCGTGATACAGACCAACACTCAAAAGAAATGAAGCCTTCTTAAACGAGAAAATAAATTTATGAAGTTAACAGAAAGGGAACCAGGTTAGGTCAGGTAAATAAAACTAGAGGTGCTACAGAAAGAAAATAAATTCACATGTGAAGTACAAACACCGTTTAAACCCTTTCCCCTCTCACAAACTTCCTGCTACAAAGGGAGAAAATAAAAGGGAAGAATCAAAGATGTACAAGCTTTCTCCCTAAAGACAGCTGGGCAGCTCTGGAGAAGCACAGCTGAATAAGGATGGGAAAGTAGAGAAGCCAGCCGTACAGTTGGGGTAACAGGCCGGGGATTCAAAACCTGCTACAAATTGAACAGCCTGAGGTATTTTTAATGCATTTTTGCTAAGTTCATGGAGGAGAAACGGTATTGGCAGTGGAATGTGGGAGTGATGAAAAGTCCATCTCTCTTTGTTGTTGTTCAGTCGCACAGTCGAGTCCGACTCTTTGCGACCCCATGGACCAGATCACGCCAGGCCTTCCTGTCTTCCGCCGTCCTCTGAAGTTGGCTCAGTTTCATGTTCGTTGCATCTATAACACTGTCTAACCATCTCATCCTTTGCCGTCCCCGTCTTCTTTGACCTTCAATCTTTCCCAGCATCAGGGTCTTCTCCAGGGAGTGCTCCCTTCTCATTTGGTGGCCAAAGTATTTGACCTTCAGTTTCATTATCTGGCCTTCCAGGGAACAGTCAGGGTTGATTTCTTTTAGGATTGACTGATTTGATCTTCTTGCAGTCCAAGGGACTCTCAAGAGTCTTCTCCAGCACCATAGTTCAAAAGAATCTATTCTTCGGCGCTCGGCCTTCCTTATAGTCCAACTCTCGCAGCCATACATGACTAATGGGAATACCATTGCTCTGACCATGCGGACTTTGGTTGGCAGGGTGATGTCTCTACTTTTTATCATGCTGTTTAGGTTCGCCATCGCTTTCCTCCCAAGGAGCAGGCGTCTTTTAATTTCATGGCTGCTGTCACATGACAGCATGTGACATGGCTGCTCTAGAGATGAGCTAATTAGAAAAGGGGATTTTTTTTGTGTGCATTATGGAAGAGAGGTTTTCTTTTTTTGCATTACAGGTAAACATATCCAGGAGAAGTGTTCCTTTGGGGAAACTGAGAATTTAGATAGGCAGGTAGATGGCTGAGTTTACATGATGGAGTAGGGGGAGAAATCTTCCTGTCCAGCGCTTAAAGTAAGGAAGAAATGGCGGGGGCTGGCCTGTTGCTCACTGTCTTGATTATTTGGGTCATTCTTCAGGTCAGATGATCAGGGAGGGAACCCCTTAGGTCCCTGAGGAAAAGGGATATGGCTTTCACATGATTACTTGCAGGAGTCGCTTCACATTCCTTGCACACTCTCAGTGTGACTCACTCTCGTTTTGAGATCCCTTTGATCCAGACTTCATTTTTCATTGCTAGGCCCAGGCTAAGATGTGCATGTATGCAGGGATCCAAAACGGAGGTCCCCAGTGAGGAGGAGTCCCGTAGCCACACTTCAGAGGATTTCTGTTCAGCTCACAACCAGGTTTCCATAGGAAACAATGGTCCAATCTTTTTGAAACTTGGGGGAATTTTTTTTAGGAGAGGCACCAGCAGCTATGCTGCGAATTTGGTGCCTCTACCTCAAAAAACAGCCCCTCAGAGCCCCAGATAATCCTGGATTGATTCTGCATTATAGTCTCTGGGGCCCATTGACTATAATGGTCCCCATAAGCTATAATTGAATCGGAGGGGGAAAACGCAATTATTATTTTTTTTGCACACTCCTATTATGCTTTTCGGGGCCACAGTGACTCAGAAGTTAAGACACTGAGCTGCAGACCTGAAGGTTGATAGCTCGGCAGTTCGAGACCCTAGTGCTGTGTGATGGAGTGAGCTCCCATCTCTGGTCCCAGCTCCTGCCAACCTAGGAGTTTGAAAGCAAGAAATTGCAAGTAGATAAATAGGTACCACTTCAGTGGGAAGGTAACAGTGTTCCATGCACCTTGGCGTCTAGTCATGCTGGCAACATGACCACGGAAACGTCTTCGGACAGCAATGGCTTTATGGCTTGGAAACGGAAATGAGCACTGCCCCCTAGGGTTGGATTTGACTGGCTTTCAAGCAAGGGAAACCTTTACCTTTTTAGTATGCCTTTCAGTATGATTTGTAAACTGCTTTGAGTCACAGGGAAAAGTCAGATATAAATATCTGAATAAATAAGTAGTTTGGACAGGTTGATAACATTTAAGCAGTTTCCTGTTCATTAGGTTGAGCAGTGTTCTGACAGTGATTGTTTCACCTCTGTTATACTTGATCTGTAATGCTGGTTGTTATATTTCAATTTTTAAAAAGTAGACTGTAAGAGGTCCCCCCCCCAGCTGGTATGTTTTCTATGGGTCAGTGCATGGCGACATCCAAGGTCAGGTCTGCCAATATAGTGGACTGGGGCAGGTAGACCTGTTCCCTGGAGGCCAGGTCTACCAATATAGTGGAAAGGGGTGGGCAGACCTGTTCTCTGGAGGCCAGGTCTACCAATATAGTGGAAAGGGGTGGGCAGACCTGTTCTCTGGAGGCCAGGTCTACCAATATAGTGGACTGGGACAGGTAGACCTGTTCTCCAGAAGCCTGGTCTACCCCTTTAGAGAAGAAGAAGAAGAGGAGATTGGATTTATACCCCGCCCTTCACTACCCAAAGGAGTCTCAGACCGGCTTACAAACTCCTTTCCCTTCCCCTCCCCCACAACAGACACCCTGTGAGGTGGGTGGGGCTGAGAGAACTCTGACACAAACTGCTCTTTCAGGAACAGCTGTGCTGGAGCTTGTGACTGACCCAAGGTCACACCAGCAGGTGCAAGTGGAGGAGTGGGGAATCAAACCTGGTTCTCCCAGATTAGAGTCCACACACTTAACCACTACACCAAACAGGACAATGTTTTGTGTAATTAAATTTGACTTGATTCTGTTTTCCCTTATAATGTTTAAATTATTCTTAAAATATAGTTTAAATATGTTGTTGTTGTTGTTCAGTCGCACAGTCGAGTCCAACTCTTTGTGACCCCATGGACCAGGTCACGCCAGGCCCTCCTGTCCTCTGCTGTCCTCTGAAGTTCACTGAATTTCATGTTCGTTGCATCTATGACACTTTCTAACCATCTCATCCTTTGCCGTCCCCGTCTTCTTTGACCTTCAATCTTTCCCAGCATCAGGGTCTTCTCCAGTGAGTGCTCCCTTCTCATTTGGTGGCCGAAGTATTTGGGCTTCAGTTTCATTATCTGGCCTTCCAGGGAACAGTCAGGGTTGATTTATTTTAGGATTGACTGATATGATCTTCTTGCAGTCCAAGGGACTCTCAAGAGTCTTCTCCAGCACCATAGTTCAAAAGAATCTATTCTTCGGCGCTCGGCCTTCCTTATAGTCCAACTCTCGCAGCCATACAGTACTACTGGGAATACCATTGCTTTGACCATTCGAACTTTTGTTGGCAGGGAGATGTCAATATTTAAACCCTTTTGCCTCGTTCAGCCTGACTGTTCTTAAGTAGTCAGTAAATTTAAATAGTAAATTTAAGTAGTAAATAAAAATAAAATAAAGTAGTAAATAAAAATAATTTTACAAAAGGGTTTAAAAGTTTAAATATAGTTTAAAAGAATTTATTCTGAGATTTTTACAAGGTTATGGAACTAATCTAAAAAAAACAATTTACACAATAGTCAACTTTAGACTTGCTCACAGCTGTAATGCTACTAGTTTTTTTCCGCTCACGAGGCAGAATTTCTGCTCACCACACTGTGGAGCTTAGAGGGAATATTGCCCATGGTATCAGGTCAGATCCTGATTTCTCAGTTTCCAACCTTTACAAAAAAAAGAGCAAGAGTCCATATAGGTATCTAAAGAAGTGAGCCGTGACTCACAAAAGCTCATCCCCTGCCACATATTTTGTTAGTCTTCAAGGTGCTGCTGGACTCTTGCTCTTTCCTACTGCTACAAACAGACTAACAGGGCTGCCCATCTCAACATTTACAACACACCCTCCTCCCTGAATGGGATTAAGGCCATCTGCTCTGACTGTGATCTGGTATGGATTTTCCCCCTTTAAACAGGTTAGGATTATGGGCTTTGATCTTGACCATGTTTTCATCCTTCCAGAAGAATGTTTCCATTTCCTTGGATTTCTTTCCCATATAAGAATGACCACCACCACCACCCCGAGAAGCCAGGAATGTAAGAGAGACTACTTAAGAACAGTCAGGCTGAACGAGGCAAAAGGGTGATTAATGATTCTTTTCCATTGTCACCTAGATGCCTTAATTCCCCAACAGCAAATGATGTTCATTCCAAAAACCATGGAGGGGGATCCCTTGAGCTGCGGGGTTCACTTGATGAGGTCCTAGCATCTCCATGCCCTGCAGCAAAATATTTTTTAGGGGAAAGAATTTCTGCCAAAGGAAATGCACAGAGTGCCTGATTCGTGGCTTGGCTAATTGCATATGGACTGATTGGACCTCTTTCTGTATTCCAGCAACAGATACAGAGGAGACACTTGGGGAATTCCAGGGGTTCTCTTTGGGAAAAGCCAAGACTGAAGAGGCTGAAGGCAACTTCAGAGATAGAGATGGACCACACAGGCAGGCAGGAAGCCACTAATAACATTTATATTATTGTAAACCTGGTGAAGACGGAGGTCCTGGGCCTGAGTCGGGGCGGTCTGGGGTTGGGGCTCCCTCTCCCGACCTTCGATGGGGTGCCTTTGGTGCCACGTCGGAGGTTAGGAGTTTGGGAGTGCTCCTGATCTCCTCATTACCTATGGAGGCCCAGGTGGCAGCCACTGCTAAGTCGGCTTTCTACCATCTTCGGCTGGCTCGGCAGTTGGTTCCCTTCCTTGACCGCGATGACTCGGCCACAGTGATCCACGCGACGGTCACCTCGAGGTTAGACTACTGTAACGCTCTCTACATGGGGCTGCCTCTGTCACAAATCTGGAAGCTGCAGCTGGTGCAGAATGCTGCAGCCAGGCTGTTGATGGGTCTCCCTAGCCGAGACCACATCCGGCCTGTGCTGAAAGCACTGCCAATAGCATACCGGATTCGCTTCAAAGTGCTGGTTCTTACTTTTAAAGCCCTATATGGCCGGGGTCCAACATACCTGAGGGACCGCCTTTCTCCACATGTTCCCCTGCGAGCACTACGGTCAGGGACGCAACATCTCCTGACGATTCCAGGCCCCAAGGAGGCCAGGCTGGCCGCTACCAAGGCCAGAGCTTTTTCGGTGGCGGCTCCTTCCTGGTGGAACGAGCTTCCGGAGGAGATCCAGGCCCTGCGGGACCTGGCGCAGTTCCGCAGGGCCTGTAAGACGGAGCTCTTCCGCCAGGCCTTCGGGTAGGAGCCGCCACTATTGTACCATCATTATTAACTGGCCCTGGGAAGAGAGAACAACAGTGCCATGTGGAACTGATAGCACTGATTGGAGGTACCATCTTACACACGCCATCTTGATGAAAGATTTTGTTTGGAACATCTAGAGCACTTAATATGTTGTAATTCTGTAATAATGGTTTTTATGGTTTTAACTGTTTTTATGTGTTGGCGTGTGCCTATTTGTGAGCCACCCTGAGCCCGCGTTGCGGGGAGGGCGGGCTATAAATTGAAATGATAAATAAATAAATAAAATATATTTCACTGTAGAGCAGGAACGAGGACCTGAAACGCTTTGAGCATGGATGGAATTTCAAGTGCAAATCAGGCCTCCTTCTGTGAGTGCTAATGGGATCTCTCTCTTTATTACCAACAGGGGATGATGGAGGGAATGAGGAGGATGAGGAACTGCATCATCTATCGCCAGATGAAGTCAAGAGTGAAGACTTGAGAGGAAAGTTCAGGACTCAAGGCAGACCCAAGAGGCAGAAAGGAAGCCATATAGTTGAGAAGATGGATCAACCCATTCCTTTCCAAGAGGGGGATTTCCATGAAGCAATTCACATGGTAGAGGAACTGTACAAGTGCACAGAGTGTGGAATGATCTTCTCAGATGAAACCCAATATAATGTCCATTTGCAAATGCAGAGTGGAAAGAAGACCCATGAAGGCTTGGAGTGTGGAAAGAGCGTCCTTTGCAGAGCCAGACACAGACAGGAGAGAAAATATACAGTTTCTCAGACTGTGATGAGAGTTTTTCAGAGAAATCAGCCTTTATTAAACACCAAAGCATTCATTCAGGAGAGAAGCCATTTATCTGTTCAGAGAGTGGAATGACATTTCCTGATGGAAGACATGGAAATCTACGTTTCCCAAGGCATATTATAATGAAGGCATCTAAATGCTTTCAGTGTGGGAGGTACTTCAAATACAAATCACAGCTCCTTGTGCATCAAACAACCCACACAGGGGAGAAACCTTTTGAATGCTCTGAGTGTGGAATCAACTGCATCAAAGAATCCACAGGGGAGAGAAGCCACTTGAATGCTCAGAGTGTGGAAAGAGATTCAGTTTGAATAGCCATCTTCAACTGCATCAAAGAATCCACAGGGGAGAGAAGCCACTTGAATGCTCAGAGTGTGGAAAGAGATTCAGCCACAGACATAGTCTTACAAAGCATCTGAGAATCCACACAGGGGAGAAACCTTTTGAATGCTCTGAGTGTGGAAAGCGATTGTGTGACAGTAGCAATTTTCAACGTCATCTAAGAACCCACACAAAGGCAAAATTGTTTGACTGCTCAGAGTGTGGAAAGAAATTCAATCAGAGCAGCCATCTTCAAGAACATCAAAGAACTCACACAGGGGAGAAACCTTTTGAATGTTCAGAGTGTGGAAAGAGATTCAGCTTGAGTAGCAATCTTCACAAGCATTTGAGAACTCACACAGGGGAGAAACCTTTTGAATGCTCAGAGTGTGGAAAGAGATTCAGGTTGAATGACAGTTTTCAGCTGCATCAAAGAACCCACACAGGGGAGAAACCTTTTGCATGCTCAGAGTGTGGAAAGAAATTCAGTCAGAGTGGTCATCTGCAACAGCATCTAAGAACCCACACAGGGGAGAAACCTTTTGAATGCTCAGAGTGTGGAAAGAGATTCAGGGAGTCAGGTAGCCTTCTAAAGCACCTACAAGTCCACACAGGGGAGAAACCGTTCGAATGCTCAGAGTGTGGAAAGAGTTTCAGTCACAGACGTAGTCTTACAAAGCACCTAAGAATCCACACAGGGGAGAAACCTTTTGAATGCTCTGAGTGTGGAAAGCAATTGTGTGACAGTAGCAATTTTCAGCGGCATCTGAGAACCCACAAAAAGGAGAAACTGTTTGAATGCTCAGAGTGTGGAAAGAAATTCAATCAGAGCAGCCATCTTCAAGAACATCAAAGAACTCACACAGGGGAGAAACCTTTTGAATGCTCAGAGTGTGGAAAGAAATTCAGCTTGAGTAGCAATCTTCACAAGCATTTGGGAACTCACACAGGGGAGAAACCTTTTGAATGCTCAGAGTGTGGAAAGAGATTCAGGTTGAACGACAGTCTTCAGCTACATCAAAGAACCCACACAGGGGAGAAACCATTTGAATGCTCAGAGTGTGGAAAGCGATTCAGTCAGAGTGGCCATCTTCAGCTGCATCAAAGAACCCACACAGGGGAGAAACCTTTTCCATGCTCGGAGTGTGGAAAGCGATTCAGTGACACTGGTAGCCTTCTAAAGCACGTACGAGTCCACACAGGGGAGAAGCCTTTTGAATGCCCTGAGTGTGGAAAGCGATTTTGTTCCAGCAGCAATTTTCAACGGCATCTAAGAACCCACACAAAGGAGAAACCTTTTCACTGCTCAGAGTGTGGAAAAAGTTTCAGTCAGAGTGGCCATCTGCAACAGCATATAAGAACCCACACAGGGGAGAAACCTTTTGAATGCTCAGAGTGTGGAAAGAGATTCAGTCGGAGTAGCAATCTTCAACAGCATCAAGGAACCCACAGAGAGGAGAAATATTTGAATGCTCAAAATGTCAGAGCAACCATCTTTACAAGCAAGAACTCACAAGACCTGACACAGTGGTGTGCACAGAGTGTGGAAAGAGATTCAGTCGAAGTGGCAATATTATATGCATCAAAGAATACACACAATGGAGAACCCTTTTGAATGCTCAGAGTGTGGAAAGAGATTCATTCTGAATGACCATCTTCAAAACCATCAAAGAACCCACAGAAGAAGAAACATATAACTGCTTAGCTTGTGAAAAGAGCTTTTCTCTTTTTATTCACATGAAAAAGACAAGCACACACCATAGAAAGGGTTGAAACCATGTAAACTATTGTAAAGTGCTTGTATCCGCCCAGAATCCTGACCCTAAGGTGGAAGAAATGATAAATTTTTTGGACTGAGGACAAAACTGAACTAGATCTCACAGGCAAGAAAGAAATGATGTGTTCTGAGGGTGGAAGGAGATGGAAAACATCTCCTTAACCATTGAATAATCCACACAGGGGAGGAACCTCATAAATACTTACTCTGTAGTAAGAGCTCGAGGCAGAGATCCATACTTCCTGTTTGTCAGATAATCCAAAAAAGGGCGAACCTTTCCTACAGTGTGTTCTGACGAGGCTCTTCTTTTAATGCCCAGGTTTTGGAGGCTTAGAAATGCTCCAAATGTACTTAGGCGAAGAAGGGCCTTTTTGGTGGTGTCCTCCTTCACTCTATCTGCCAACCTAACTCCTCCTGACATTTGCAAAACTGGCAAAAACATACCTATTTTCCAAATCCTGTGATGAAATAGACACGACAAGGCTAGCATATATCTTTGGATAGATTTCAGGGGGTCTGTACACTTTGATGCAGAAAAAGTTACACCTTTATTTTCAAAAACTACATCTTTATTTCTTCAGTTATCTGAAGAAGTGAGCAGTGACTCACAAAGGCTCATATCCTACCACAAATTTTGTTAGTCTTTAAGGTGCTACTGGACTCTTTCTCTTTTCTACTGAAGCAGGGCGGGTTGTATTTGGCCTCTGTCCACTTTTGTTAAAGTGGCTCAAAAATGATGTTCACAGTCACAGAACAGACCGAAAAAAGAAAAAACTGTAACTGCGCTAGAAAATATTTAAATAAAAATCACAAGATTCATACAAAAATGTGTACAAAATTCTTTTTGCCCTAGCACTTTGCCCTAGGAACATTCTTTTAGAGAATTTCTTGCAACTAAGTTATGATACATTGGTGAATTTTAATGAAATTTTTGATACCTACTTGTTGAAATGACAGACCAAGAGTCGCTGCTTTCATCCACTTTCGGAAGAAGAATAGTATCGAAACGATAGAACATTCCGGAGACCATCGTCACACCATTTTCAGCTGCCTTGTGCATTTATATATGTAGATTTTTGTACACATTTTTGTATGAATCTTGTGATTGTTATTTAAATATTTTCTAGCGCAGTTACCTCACAGTTTCTTCTTTTTTTCAGTCACTTTTGTTAAAGAACAAAAAAAAAGCCTATTTTGGTTCAGTATTAACTTCTTATTAACTGGATCGCTAGCCTGATCTTGTCAGATCTCAAAAGCCAAGTAGGGTCAGCCTTGGTTAGTATTTAGATGGGCGATCTCCAAGGAATACCCAGGCAATAATAATCTTTCAATTTATTGATGGCTCAATCCTTGCAGAGCTGCTGGCTCTGAGCGATTTACAGTTACTCATGAATTCACACGGGACTAACAATGATAGGGGTAAGGGAGGACAACATATATCTTTTTAATTCACACACATTTTTGCAGTCGATGGGGAGTTTGGTCAGCTGTAAGCTTCAGACGTGTTCCGGCAGCATTCTCACTCGGCGTTGCTTGATGTCTATAGTACATATACTACTATGTATAAATCAAAAGTCAAAATTAAGTCTCTAAAATGTCCATTCCAAACGCTTGAAAAATCTGACACAGGAAAACATCCTGCTGTGTAAGAAAGCTCGCTTCCTCCCAACTTCATTAGGGTGATGAAGCTTGTAGTGAGTAAGGATCCACACCCAACAGGCTATCGATAAAAGCCGTTTTGAAACTCTCTTTCTCAAGAGCTGACGATCCTTTTCTTCAGAGCTGATTATCCTTCTACAAATGAAATCAATTTTCACAGGTAATAAGGTACATTAATGACGGAACGCAACTGCCTCCAGATTTCAGTCCTTCAGCATTGACGGACTCCCACAATGGGGTCGGCTTTCAGCCATAAATCAGCTGTGACTTAATGGCATTTTCCACCACCTCCTCATACCTACCTAGTCCTTTGAACTGAAAAATGGTTGGGTGGGATACTGCTCAGCAGCAGAGCATCTGTTCGGCATGCAGAAGGTCCCAGGTTCGGTCCCCAGCTCTGCTAGAAACCATGCAGAGCAGCTACCAGTCACAATAAACAAGACTGACCTCCACAGCAATAATTAGGGTTGCCAACTGGCCTGGATAAAAGTGTCGTGTCCCTTTCGTAGAGGCTTAGTGTGTGGAAACAAGGAGACACATTTCATAGTGTTGCATAACAGCCCTGTTCCGGCCTGCCTTCCGAGGTCTTTCTCAACACCTGGAGAGACTTGCCACCACCTGACTGTTGTAGGAATTGCCCACTGGGAGGGTCAGGACTCCCAGCTTCCCTTCTAAGTTCTGAGGCCTTGCCTCTGTGTCTCCCGCTGCCCAGCGCCTGCTCGCCATTTGGACAGTTTACTGTCTTGTACTCCCCTGGAGGAATAGCCAGTTGCCAACTGGCCTGCCTTCCCCTGGCTCTTATTTTAAAGTAGCGTGTCCAAGATGGGGGAGGTCTGTGTGGTACAGAGGACCGCTACCAGCATCCAAAGTTATAAAGTATTTATCAAAAAGAAAATGTTTACAAGCATACTTTGACCACAGCACCAGATTGTGCAAAGGACCCGAAAGAAATGGGTAAAACGGTAAAACAGAAATCCTTTGCCCTATCGGATATTAAAATATAGGGCAGGCCCTTTTAGCTTAGGTAATCAGAAATTTCTACCATGTTCCTTTACCTCGAAGCTCCCTTCAGCTCTTCACGACAGCACATGGTTAAAATGGTTGCCTCTTGCAGCTAAGAGTCCTGTGTGCTCTCCTGGAGTCTGCACCCCAAAGAAAGAGAACTCCTTCTGGCTGACAAAGAGTTTTTATCATATCGGTTTCTCCACCCACTGACCAGGTCCTGCCAGGTCAAAGAAGCATTTCCTGGAGCTTCTTCCTGGACCCTTTCTAGTCTAAAGTCCTCCAAATCTCTGTTCCCTATTTGAAGGGGGGAGCTTGGCTATCCCATTGTCTCTAGCTAGCTCTATTAGCATTTCTTAAAAGGGTAGCTGAGGTGAACCTGGAAAGCCATTGACTGACTTCATCCTTCCCAGCCTGTTCTGTTCCTAGAGGGGGAAAAAACTTTTAAAATGCAAAGTGGAAGTTTTGGTTCTTTGAAACCTCCCAGGAAAAAACACATTTATTCACACATAGAATAAATGAATCACATCCCCTGGTAGATAACATCTCATTAAGTCTCTCTCAATGGGACCGAGTCAGTCTGGTGTGGTCAAAAGGCTGAAAGCGAACAAAGGGAGACTCCACCCAGTCATGACATTGATTGGGAAGGTGGCCTGAGGACCAGTGTTGTACTTCCTATTTCAGGGTTATACTGGATCCATCATCATTGCTGGAGAAGTTAATGCTGCTGCAGAAAAACACTTTCTTCCAACTCAGTTTAGCCTGCAAGATGGCCCCCTACCTTGACTGGGTCTATCTGGCCACCTGGATCCATGCTACGGTAACTTTGAAGCTAGACTACTACAATACACTTTACATAGGTCTTCCCTCAAAATCAATTTGGAGACCCCAGTTGGTGCAGAATGCCTCACAAAAGCTTTGACTGGGATCTAAAAGGAGCTGAGGTGGCTCAAGTGGTTAAGACGCTGAACTGCAGGCTGTGGAAGGTCGGTAGTTCAGCAGTTCGAGACCCGAGTGTGCCGCATGACGGAGTGAGCTCCCGTCTCTAGTTCCAGCTCCTGCCAACCTAGCAGTTTGAAAGCAAGAAATTGCAAGTAGATAAATAGGTACCACTTCAGTGGGAAGGTAACAGCGTTCCGTGCGCCTTGGTGTTTAGTCATGCCGGCCACATGACCACAGAAACGTCTTCGGACAGCGCTGGCTCTTCGGCTTGGAAACGGAGATGAGCACCGCAACCCTAGAGTCGAATTCGACTGGCTTTCGAGCAAGGGAACCTTTACCTAAAAGGAGACTGCACATTACTCCCAGTGTACCATCATTCCATTGGTTGCCCATCAGTTACAGGGCTCAGTTTAAGATTTTAGCTATCATATACAAAGCCCTTTACAGGCTGGGTCCCTCCTATCTGTGGGACAGCCTCTCCCGCAATGATCTGCTACATCAGCTTCACTCACCCAAGCAGGGCCTTCTGAAGATGCTGCCCTGCAAACGGGCCTGCCGGGCAAGGATCCTACAAGGTAATATTTGCACCGTTTCACGTGTCATGTTAATCCGTAGGCTTTGCTTCTGCTCTGTTTTTAGATCTCTGCTCAGTTCTACACCTTACTGCATTGTTTACTGAGTATCCCCTTCAGTCGATTGCATCGCCTCCCTCTGCACAGTCTGCACTGGGTTCGTGTGAGAAAGGCACATTATAAATAATGTACATTTAAAAAAAATTAAAAATAAAGAATAAGCCTGGCATACTTTTGTGTGATATACCACTTGTCTGACAATGGCTTAGAAGTATAACCAGGGCAGTTCTGTACAGATGCATAATGGGCTGCTCTCTACCGTAGTAAATTCCCCCCTTAACAAAAAATGTGTGTCTCCCCCCCCCCCATTGAAAAATTTCTGGCTACAGGCCTGGGTGTGTGTGTGTACGCCTGCACACACTTATAAAGGAGAAACTTGGATCCTGCTTCCCAAGATACCAGTCAAAGCAGGCAGGGCTGGCCAATTTGGGCATATTTCATTCTAACCAGTTTGATTCCTGAAGGTTCCTTGGTTTCTCGGAGGTTTGGAGAGGGGAAGTGATTTGTAATGTAATGTACTGGAAGTATTACAGGAATCGTCTAATTCACTCCCCATGTTAAGCTTCGAGCCAGCTAAGGCTCCGTCTGTGCTAATACTCTATTGGCCGCTTCTAAACAGCGACCAATCACAGTGAGGCAAGTTCCCCAAGCGGGAAGAACTTTCATTGGTCGTTATCCAGACAATCGTATTGGTTGTTATATGTAAATAGGCGTGGCTATGTTAGCCTGGCAATGTTTAAAAGGAGCCTAGCTCCCAATGTTAATCCGTTCTGGTTATGAATGCGTTTGAGTGTTTGTTCGCTTCTTCAATAAAGCTGAATCACTTTGCTGAAATCACTCTCCGGATCTTTGTTAGCGGCGATCTAACATGTAATTTGGAGAAAAGCTTCTTACAGGCCTGCAGTAGAGCTTCAG